GGATATAGCTCGCTAGCAGCCTCGCACCGAGGACCTATCCACGTCATCATTTACCCAGAATGCTTTGCGTGGAAATAAAATGGCTCTGTCTGTGTTAAAATATATTTTTAAAAATTTACTAAACAACCTACAGTATTTTTGCAGTCTTTATTTTACAGTTAAAATAAATGTTTATCAAATAAAGTCTAATGTTACAACTAATTAAGGATCCCTTCAACAACAAAATAGACTTTAAATTTCTGATCATCTTGTGTAAAATCTCCTCCAGTTGCCCCGCCTCTTCCTCTGCTTCACTTCCTGTCTGTTCCTGACTCTTTTTCTACATCTCTCTGTCCTCGCACCGGTTTGTGAATCGTTCCTTCTTTAACCTGCCAGCAGGCGGCGCTGTTTTCTACTAATTTGCTTAAGGAGGCCCAGGCGTTTGGGTTCAGTGTTTGTTTGACTGATGATTCACTGTGAGTCGACTTTTATTCTGAAAAGCACATTTTTTTACTCTGAGTTTAACGTTGATCCACCTTTAACCTGCTTCTTCCAGTCCAGAGGACGTTAGCGTGCGTTAAACTTAATCTGACTCTAAAGCAGAGGGAAAAAAAAGATGCTGCTGCTTTTATCATCTTCACCCCTGAGGGAACGCCCCCTGAAGCCCCGCCTCCTCTCTGGTGGGTCACGGGGGGCTGTAGGTTTGTACAGATGTTTGCTGGCTGGATGTCCTCAGAGCTTCGTGTGTTTGAGCGCCTCCTGCTGACCTGGATGCTAACCTCTGTGTTGGTTTGTTAACACTCAGTGGACGTGCAAATAAAAAACAAGTTAGCCCAGACCACGCCTCCCTCCTCTTTTCATCTCTTTAAAACATTTTTATTATAATTTGACCTCATTTTTTCAGAAGAATTCCTCTCTGATTAGATTGTTTGTACAGAATTTAACCAGCTGTAGTCATAAAGTTCACCCTGCTGCTCAAACATTACACCATTTTGTTTTTATCAAACTTTAAATAAACCCAACCTCAGACAGGAGGACATGAGTTATCAGTTAAAATAAATCCAGAGCTACAAAGTATGTACAAATACTTCTTAAGTAGAATTTTTGTGTATCTGTACTTGAGTAATTATTTTTCAGCCTACTTTTTACTTCTTACATTTAAAAAGTCAAGAAGTAGAAAATCGTTACTTTTATTTCATTTTTGCTTGTTTTCATTGCAGCTTATTGTAAAAAATAAAAACTATCCATATAAACCAGGGGTCTGCAACCTTTACAATCAAAAGAGACATTTCTGCTACTCGACGCACTAATAAAATGTGTCTGGAGCCACAAAACAAGCTACAACTGTGATTATCAACTGGTGGTCCGTGGGCCTTTTCGAGGCCTTTTCAGGAACGTTTCCTGGCCAGTGGAGGTGACATTATAAAACTAAAAAATATATTGTGAATTTTATTATTTTTACCCATCAGGACAAATGAAAAGTTTATTCATGTTAAGAAAATACCATGCATAGTTTATACCAAATTAAAAAAACTAGTACAACTGAACTATTAAGGCATGCTTTTTTCTAATTCTTATTATGTCTTCAAATTCTTTAAAGGTAATTCTGATGGATTTGAGAGAAAAGTCATAGAAAGTTGGATTATTTAAGTAAACAACAGGCTAGCATGAGCTAATCAACATGTTTTACTTTTTTGTATTAGTAGTATTTATCACATTTTTGCATACAAATAATTTCCTAAAGGAGACTTTAACTTTTACCAAAGTAACGTTTTGGTAAGATACTTGTACTTTTACTCAAGTATCACTTTGTGGTACTTTATACAACACTGTATAAATATAGAAACAGATTTAAAAGATAAATCCATCGTTTCTGTTTGTAAAGGAAAGAATAAAAGGTTCTGTTAGCCAGAAACTAATCAAAAGTCCTGTTAACAGATAAAATCTGAAGTTTGGGTATTTATTTATTTATTTATTTGATTATTAATCAGCTGTTATCAGACTTTAATAACCAGAGTGACTTCAGTGGATTTAGTTTAGGGTTTTTAAATGAACTTGGCCTCAATTCATGGACAAAAGCTCATCTGTTAGCCAGGAAAGCTAACCTGTTAGCATTCAGCTGATCAAAAGCCAAATCGTTGGCTTGTTAGCAGATAACCTGTTAGCAGCTAATCTGTGTTAGCTGGTAAACTAACCTGTTAGCAGGCAAGTTAACTTGTTAGCGGCTAACCTTTTAGAAGCTAACTTGTTAGCACGCAGTTGTTTCTGCAGACCGTCTGAGTTTGAAGAGGTTTCTGTTGTTTTAATTAAAGTATTTTTTATCAGCGAGGTCATGTTGCTGGTTTCGCTCAACAGTTTCTGTTAATCTGACGTTTAAATCGAGTTTAAATCAGTCGTGGTTGAAGAACGAAGCCGTTCAGCCGAACAAAACCAGTTTCATTCTCAAAAAAAAAAAAACTTGTGTAGACGTGAGAGCAGCTGAATCAGTCTGAAGTTTAGATTTTTATGTTTCAGTGATTCA